ATGAGCCAAAAGAGAAGAGAGAAGAAACAACAACCATGCACACATACAAAGGATTCTCAACCATTAGAATTACAGTATATAGCTTGCTAATATTCTTACTTTGCATTTTCATTTTTAACAAACTGAGTCTGTGATTTCCTTTATAACCTAATTTTTAACTTACTAGGCAAAATATCAGAGCAATTTTTTATGTTACTAGGTATTCATCTACTAGATAATTTTCCAGTAGTATTTTCGATGGTGATGGCCATTCCATCATATGGATGTTTAATACATGGATAAATTGATAAATAAGTCATAGGTGAATTTTCTATTGTGTTTCCAATTAAGATGTCTCTCATTCCCTTTGCTATGTTCATGTGTCATTTCTAGGGTGTATTGCTCTTATCCAAAGTATTCTCAATTCTTGACCTTCCTTCACACATTCCATCTATAAAGAAGGTAGTAGGAAAACAACGAAGAGAACCTGATGACTCTTTAGAAAATGAGAAGACATGGTTTTAGGACAAATATATGATAGTGCTTTTTAAAATGTCACGAAAATTTATGGTCCATTTATTTTATATTCTTTCCTTCTTTTTTAATCGATAGAGGAAGAGAGATAGAGAGAACCCATAAGGAGCCCATTGGTCTTCCTCCTTCTCCATGGTCCTTCTCCATTTCTCCATCCCACTGAGATACTGGCCACACTCATACGTGCCTGGTGTATCTTTCAAGCTGCCAGGCTGGGACTCAAACTGTGACTGAACGTGTGGAATCTGACTGCCCCAACCACTAGGTTATGAGGCTGACACTCCTTTTCTTTTTAAATATGGAGCCAAATCTGAAGAGATTTATGAAGGCATTTAGTAAGCTCATGGTAATGGATTTATGATGGATAACTACAAAATGGAAATGTGGAATTTAATCATAGCTGCTGTTCACAGCTACCAGCTAGGCCACCCTGGCCTAGCGTGGCTTCATAGACCTTGAAGAGAGTGAAAAAAAGACACTGTCCACACAGATTTAAGGCAAGTTGGTCCCTAGGTAGAGGCCATCTGCCAGATGGGCCCCAGTGGGTCTGCCTGGTGACCTAAAGGGCCGTTTTCCTTAAGGAGGGGAAGTGTCTACTGGAAAGGCTACCTGGTCCTTCGCCTGCTGAGTGGTCCAGCGCTGAGGCCATTTAATAGCTTAGACTTGGGGCAGAGGTGAGGGAAGATGAAGTGATGTCTATATCTTCAGGTAATTTTCCTTTAACATAATGCTTGTGAAATAGCTAAGTACTGCCGTATTTTAAATATTAGATATGCTTATATGATCAATAATCAAAGTTTTTTATGCTTTGTGTTAATTATTCAGTGATTACTGGGCTTGCACAGTGTTGTGTCATTCTAGACATTAGCAAATGCTCTCTCTGAAGATGGTAGGAATTAAACATTTTCTTATTAGAAATGAGGAAGGTTTTTTTTTTTTTTAAATTTTGAAACAGGGTCTACAACTCATCATTTCCAAATTAGTATTTATTCATTTAAATTGCCAGAGAGCATGTGCACTCACCAGAGAAAGACAGACAGACAGAGAGAGAGAGAAAGACAGAGAGACAGAGAGAGGGAAAATGAGAAAGAAATCCCCAATGGGGTATGATCACTCCTTGATCCTTTCTCCTCCATTTCTCCATCCTGTCAGAATTTGGAGAACACATGCGCATGCTCCTGGAGTCTTTTAAGTCACCTGGGCCAAGATTCAAACCACAATGTGGGAGCTGTCTCCCCTAATTTCTAAGCCATGGGGCCTGCCTAAAATTAATTTTTTATTGCATTAATTTTTGTATTTTTATGCATTTTCAAAATTAGACACAATGGAACTGTTTTTTTAGGAGAGATTTTTGCTATAAGGTTGTATGCCCTTGCCCCAGAGACAGAGAAAGACAGAGAGACAGAAAGCAAGAAATTACCTCCCAGGGAGGATGATCATGCTGCAATCCCTTCTCCCCCATTTTTGTCTTGGGATTCTGGGCACGCATGTACACACGCCCAGAGTGAGTTTTAAGCCACCGGGTCTGGGATTTGAACCTCAGTCAACTGCGTGGGAGTCCAGTGATATAACCATTAGCTATTTGCTAGTCCCAGACACAATGAAATTGAAAGATAAATTCTTTAGGCATGCCATCAAGTAATGATATCTGGTTTTCTCTAAGTATTGGTATAAAGAAATTTATCTCTGATCAAAATAATTTTATTAGTTAAAGAATAAAGGATATGTGTGTGTGTATCATACATAAATAAATATGAGAAAGGGATAGAGACAGAGACTGAGAGAGATAAGGTGAAGCAAATGATGTAAATTGCCAGTGTTGAAGTTTCTGGGTAAAGGATATTAAGGGATCTTTGTATTACCCAGTTACTTTCTCTAAAGTTTGAAATTATTTCAGAATAATGAGTTTAAAAATTTCACTGTTCACTGTTTAATTTGAGTTAAGTAAGAACCAAGGATTAAAGGAAGGATCATCTGAAGAAAAAAATCTCCGCGAAACTGTTGATGCTACCCAGCTGCAAAGCATGAAGAAGGGCAGGGTAGGGACTGCGGGCGTGGGTGTGGGTGACAAGGAGGCCAGGCCAAATTTCCCTCCTGGCTATTTGGTTAGCAAGGCAGGTCATCTGATTTAAAATTGGTGTTTGGCAAATCCATAATAGGACACTGCTTATTGGAGGACTACATTAACATTTTAAAATAATGATTCTTAGGAGAGAATGGAAAGCAAGGAATCTTGGTGGAGCCGAGGAAGCTCTTTTCCTCACCACTTCTGAATTCTAGTGGAAGCTGCCCAGATAAAACAAATTAATGCTTTGAAATTTTAGGGGAAACACAGTTTTAATCAGCCTGCCATCTTAGTCATTGTTCAGACATGAAAAGAGCGGAATCAACATCCCCTCAAGCTGAAGGCGGTGCGAATCTATCAGGTTCTGATTTTTACACAGAATGAGTTTCCTCACAATATACTTTGTCTTTTTCTGCTCTCTTTCTTTCTTTTTCGTTTCTTTCATTCTTTTATTCTTTCATTTTTTTTACTCTCTCCCCCTCCCTCTCTCCCTTTCTCTCCCTGTCTCTTTCCTTCTTTCTTTCTATCCTCCTTTTCTCCCTCCCACTTTTCCTTCCCTTTTTCTTTCTCCTTCTTTTTCCTCCCTCCTCTCTTTGCTTCCCTCTTTACCGTTCTCCTTCTCCCTGTTCTATCCTAACACAAGAGAGTAAATTAGGGGCCAATAGGAGATAACGACACTGGGCTAATGTGCAGAACTCCAACATATGCAGGCCTGAGGTCCAAGTGGATCAATACCCTAGACGTCCCCTTCTGAAGCAAGAGTCCCTCAGCAACTCAGGATCTGGGCTATTGTGCTCTGCAGGTCCCCTGTTGAGACCACGCCTCTTTACTGGTGGACTTGCGTGTAGCTGGATTCAAAGCAAAATGTTGTTTCTTCCAGAGAACAAGTAACTTCCTGAAAATGAGTAATTAAAGGCCTGAAATCCTCTCAGGAATGTTCAGGCATGCGTTCTCTGTACTTCCTTCAAGTAGAAAACAGACATGTGGCCCTGAACTTATAGTTTGGGCTTTAAACGCTTAATGATTCATCATGTAGTATCTTTGTGTAGCAGAGAGTTCTATCAGGATGTGTTGCCTGTAACATGAATATTTGTGAGTGGTACCTTGCTCAATACATTTTTAATAATTTTCATTATCTGAATTTTACATAAATATTTGGAAACAAGTCTTTGGCAAGTTAAATTTTTCCCTTTACTTTTCTTGGTACATTAATTCTAGAGTTCTTGCATTTTCAACGTATTAGTTGTAGAGCAAATAAAAATGGCATGTATTTAGGACCAGCAGGTGGCATGAAGGTTAAGGCGCTAGATCCTTTGTGACTGACTATGCAGTTTGAATCTGAGACCCGGTGGCTTGAAAATTACACTGGGCACATGTGCATGTATGCCCAAAATCCTGAGAGGAGACTGGAGGAGAAGGAGTTCAGTCTGGCCATTCTCCCTGGGGGTGATTTCTCATTTTCTCTGTCTCTGTTTCTCTGATGAGCACATGTCTTTATAGCAAAAACTAACAAAAACAAAAACAAAACAAAACAAAAGCAAGTATTTGGAAGGAGAAATTGAAACTGTTCAGAATATTCATTGGAGATATTGAGTAAATGAAGGTGTTAAGTCAGCCAGCAAATGGCTATTAGTAAACATGATCACCTAGTCACATGAAACAAGTTCTACCTGCAAAATTTTCTCTTAAGGGGAAGATAGTTCAAGTCCTATGTCTTAGTTGTGTGGCAGTTCTAGGAAGAAGCGGGCCGGGAAGCCTGGCAGCGAGGGCTGAAGGCTGCCTCAACACCTTAGTCCCAAGGTGCTTCCAGCCTATGTGAAGCCACGTGGAGTCCCACCACCTCTGCATCCTGCGTTGGTCTTGGTGCGGCTGGCGTGTCACATAGCGGCTGCTCTGGTCACACCTGCTATGGCAGTCACAGTCCCAGGCAATTGCTGCCTTTTTTTTTTTTTTAATTAAAAAAAAATCTCCTGGCTGCATATCATCAAGAAAAACAACATTGTTTTCAGGGTCTCTTATCTCTCCACTCCCAAATATCCTGTTTCTTCGGGCTGGGCGGCCAGGACCAATAGAAACCTCTTCCTGCCATTGGCTGACTTCATTTCCCAGACTTAGCACAATCTCATCCGCTCTAAACAACCTCATCAAAACTACTTTCTGGTCAGAGAGAAGCAATAATTATTATTAACATTTATTAACGATCAATAAACTTGATTGCATTATGGCCAGCACTATTAAGGTAAGGAAAGGGTTCCTTTTCATTTGACAAAATCTTGTTCTTGTTACTCTTTTCTTTGGTTTCCTTTATCAATGCAGATAAGTTAGGGTTGGGCAACACCCCCACTGCCACAATAGAGGACAACAAGATTTCCTTTGCACTGCCTAGTAAATTTCCTTTTTCCTACTCCAACCATCCGCAAGGCTTAAAAACTTCAAACTCAGAAAAAAATTGGGGTTTCTAAATTCACTGTTGAGTGCTGTGGATTACTTTTGCAAAGCCTTTTCGGAGCGCTTCTGAATTTTCAGATTCTTTAACTATCCCTGATGGTGCCTGAATGTGCGGTTGATACAGGCAACAGACTTGCAATGTTGGAGGGCAGGGACAAGGAAAAAGATGGGCTTGTTATTGTTGAACTTTTGGATGCTCTTCAGTGACTCCTTAGCATGAGGGATGCCAGCCAGTCCCAGTGGAAATGGAGAGATACTCGGCAAGTGGCTGCTGGTAACGGGACGCGCTAATGTTGACTTGATTTGTGGGACATCCATGCTGAGAACTGAGTGTTCTCATAACTCATATGGTGGTAATTCAGCGTGTTTGGTTATGTGTTTATCATTAATAAAATACCTACTCCTCTGTGCACTGTAAAATTTCTTCCTAGTGATGTTGGGTTTGTGGGGATTAGAGAGCCATGGCTTGTTGCTGCTTTATGCTCTGGGCTATTTGGTCTGATGTGTTTTCTTGCAAATGTCTCTGGTAGGTAGCAGATAGAGCTCATCACAGAGGTAAATCTGTACAGGTAGAAACCTAAATGAAGCTGCTGCCTGGAAACAGGGCCAATTTAATGATGAGAGCATGTTAGTGGCATGGCGCCTATGAGGAGGTGGTCTGTTAAAGTATTTCCAAGGATGCCAACCCATGGTGATATTTGTAGAAATGACAAAAATAGGCACGAAAGCAGGTACTAAAGAGAGGGAAAAGCATGTTTTGTTAGTTGAATGCCTTTAGTTTTGCTGCAGACAGGTAAAAAGTATTTGGTTGTGTTTTTATCAAGAGTTCTCACTTGAAAGCTCATGAAAATGGAAATTTACCCTGAATTGGGCCAAAGCATTTTCAAAAATCCTCTTGGTTTGGTATTTTTGTAAACTGAAACAATTGAGTTAGAGAATTTGATTAACATGGACCATATAAACTGTATTTCAGAAGTTCTGTTCGGTGTTTATTTCTCAAGGTATGTTCATTGTATATTAAAAAGAATTTTTCTTGTACCAAAGAATTTTACCTTCCAGAGATTTTTCTTTTTTTGACCTTAAGCAGCAGAGTTCGTGTGACTGTAACTATCAAAGAAAGAAAATTTAAAATTGGGAGTTTGATGTGCTCCAGTTCAACGATAGGAGTAGAAATTACTTGATTTTATAACCAACAATGCTATCCTTTTTGTTATTTTTGTCCTTACATCCAAATTTCAAAACAATTAAATAAAATATTTTTTGTAAAACTTGAGTATAATCTTAAGTGGAATTCCCCCCGACAAAACCAGTGCATTAAAAGACATTGAAATAATATGCCATCCGTTATAAGGCATTTAAAAGTACCTTTTGAAAAAAAAAAAGAATGTATAACTTAAAATACATATTCATCAAGATATGAAGTTACTTTTGAAATTTGAATGTTTGCGAATTTCTAAATGAATTTTGGGAAATAGTTTATGCCTGTCTAGGGTACTATGGTGGAGTTAGCATTTTATTACTTTGCATTATATGTATAGTGTACTCCATGTTAATGTTTAAAATGACTTCAAGTGAATTTTTAAAAAATTCTCTGCTAAAATAAAATAATCCCTCTTTATAGGTAACTTCCTCTAAGGCATGTTTCTGCTAGGTTCTGGGGAAAGTAATGAGATGATTTTATAGCCTTGTTTATAGAGTGGAAAAAGGAGGCCTTGAGTCTGTTGACTACAGTTTTAATTATGTTAGCACAAAGCTCAAATTAGCATAGGGAAAATTACGACTGTCCACTGGAATTAGGAAACAGTCACTCAGACAAGCAGTTTCCAGTCTCAAATGAGCTCTGTTTCTTCTTGTTTTAGTAAATAAAGCAATTAGTCGATTAGGTATCAGATGCCTGAATTCATTAAATCGTTACTTCGTATCTGAGGGGTTTTTTTTGGTATTAATATGTATAAGAACCTATATGACATTATGCAAAACTCAATATTCTTATCCAGTCTTTATGATACCCACCATCACTTTCCCTTCATAATTTGAAATTGGTAACAAAATGTTTCAACTGGAAGAAGTAAGTGAATCTTAAGAGCTTTCATGAGCATGCCCATTTATGTCTAAGTGCCTTTAAAATCAGATGAAGAATGCTTATAAAAATGGGTAAGCAACAAGGCCGATATACCCGTATGCAAACAATTCACTGAGCAGTTTTGGTGCTTCCATTTTCTTCTGTGCCTTCTGATAATACTTAACGCTTCCAAAACAGCAGAGTATTGCTTGGAACTCCAAGGAGGCAGTTACCTTGTAACTTGAATGTGCATCAGCAGGAGTTTTAATCCAACCTCCCAATGCCTTCTCTTATTATTTTTATTTCCTTTTAATGCAATCTACCATTTAGGAAGTCTAATGAAGCCTACAGTTGCTTCTCAGAATAATTATTTTAAATCCATAAAATGAAATATAGAATACAGAGAAAAGACAGCTTTATCCTCAGACCCCTTAGAAGTTCGGAATCCCAGGTTGCAAGCCCTGATCCTAGAGTCCAAAGATCCTAAAACTTTAAAATCAGAAGGTGGGGCATTTTCCCTTGTCACAGAGACCTGCCATTGAAGGACACAGGGAGAGCAAGCAGCGGTGGGTCGGTGGGTCGTGTTAGTGGGAAATCAGACAGGATATGGAAAGTTCTTAAGGAGGCTCTGTGAAAACTCAGGGCACACTGTGGCATGTCAGTGGCTTGCTTAAAGAGTTGCTTTCTTGGATTGAACATAGGCAAGAGGGTTTGATGATAATTGAAACATGAAGTGATGAATTGTTCTTATTCATTTAAAAGCATGTAGTTTGTTTTACCTCACGTGTTGCAAATTGCAGGCACCATCTGCCTTTATGCCTGAAGGAAACTTACTAGAGCTAAAGGTTATGTAAAGGCAGTACGTTTCCTCCCAGGATTTTGGCAAATGTGAGTAGTAAGTTCAATAGCTACGGATATATAAATTCTTATCAGCCCACTGGTTGAAGTGGAACATGAAATTGTTTCATGCATTGTCACGGGGAAAGAATGGCCCAGGCATACTTCTACTGTCCTGCTAAGAGAGCTGGCTCCGATTGGTCTTTGCCTCACAGTGGATCTGCAGAGTGTTATCTGAAATGACTTGATACTTGCATTCAGGGCAGCTCTCTAACCCAGGGTGCCACCTGTGGGTGCAGCTTTCACCCTGAGCTCCTGAGCCTGTGTGTGTACCCCTACCCACCCAGCACCTGCTCAGCCGTTCCCGAGCAGAAGTCAGGATGACTGAATTTGTGGACAGTTTTTCTTCTCACTGAAAACACTGCAGGACTGCAGTGTTCTCAGATACTGCTCTGTAATTACCGCTATTTTATTTAAAGTGATTATTTCATAAAAACTTGGTCTTGCAACACAGATCTTTATTTTTTTTTAAAGATCACAAATGTGTACATAGATAGACTTGTTTATATCTCTTGAAAAAGCACACATACAATTAAGATAAATAAAACCACTATTCCTGATGTCTTCAGGAGCATTTTACATCTGCATTTAGGATGTTGGAATAAGGCCCCCTTTGTGGGAGTGGGGGCCCAGTAACTTGGCAGATGTCTTGGTTTAACAGCTGATACACAAAGGAATTGTAATGCAAGAGACCATAGGGGAGGAGACTTAGAGTTTCCCTGAACTAGAAAGTCTTAGAGGAGGGTAGTTTACAGGACAGTCTCCAGGTCTTTACAGCATTTGGTAGCACGCTGTGCTCTGTCAGGATCTTTTCTTTAGAGCCAACAAACTCCTCAAACACTGCAACCCAGTCAGGAGTCCCCTTTTGTGTCTCACAGGATGGAGGACAGCTGCTTCTGCCCTGAGATCTGGGAGATCGCCCTTGAGAGTGCTTCTCTTACTTTATGTGGTCACAGACACACTTGTGTCTGAACCCTGAATCCTGATTAATCTTGTGGCCTGAACATGGGAGTTTACCTGTCTGGCCTCAGTTTCATTGTCTGTAAAATGGGGTCATTGTGGTAATCCTGTCTTCTGCTGCTATGAATTGCTTTCTGTAGAGCTTCTAGTAGGTGATCAATAAGTGGTAGATGCCATCAGACTCCCCAAGTTGATCTAACCTTTCCAAGTACATTGCCTTGTCTTTATTTTTTAAAATTATTTTTATTAAACATTTGATTAGTGTATGTCATTTACATTGCCTTGTCTTTCTAGCCCTTCTCTTAATTCTCTACATTTTCCATTACCCTGCTTCAGTTGTGTAGCCCACAGCCACCGACTTGGTTCTCATGCTTTCTAAGAGACAGGGAGAATGACAGGATCACTACCACCTGGTGCTCCTCTGACCTCCCACACCAAGGCACAGCACACCTGCAGGGGAGGGTGGCAACAAAAGAGGGCAGATCAGGAAAAGGGGGCTTTCAGGGGTCCTCATGGAAGGTAGAGGAGGGCAGATGCCAAACATGCGGGCAGAGGGTGACCCGAGGCATGCTGCTCAGCAAGTTTTCCCAGTCCTGTCCTGTGGTTCTGTTATTGCAGTCTGCTGCTGCATCTTGGTCCTGACCAGGGCAGCAATGGGAGTACTAGAATGTCCCCATGCTCTTAATTTCCCATTACTTTTGAAAGATGCATCTTGTTTTGTCAAAATTTTAAGCATAAAACAGTCTCATTGTAAAGAAAATGAAAAAAAAATCATTACAATCAATATAGGTTTCTACAAATTCCAAGCCACCAGAAAAATTACTATTCGTGTTTGGTGTGTCGCTTTCTATTCTATGCTTCTATTTATCTCTAGCTATCTGACTGTGCCTCCTGCTTTTCACAGTTAACATTGTTTTGTAAACATTCCTCCTGCCAATCAAAATCTTGTGTAAGCAGAATATTTACGCCTTATATTATTCCATCCAAAATAAGTATTTCATTTTTTATAATGAATATACTGTGGTAGGAGATAATACTGCTTTCAATTTTTCACTAATGACATGATAATGAACCTACTATTGAATTTTAAAAATCAATTTTATTGGTATTGGTGCTTGGAAAATGAACATACATTCTTGTAAAGTCTTTGCCAAATTTAAATATTTGCCATTTTCGAGAGTAATTGCCAGTTGTTCTCTAGAAAGGTTGTAGCATTTCCCACCTGAATATTTTACGCTTGATGCTTTGCCATTCTGACAGGCAAAAATGGAATCTCACATATTTATATTTCCTCAATTTTATTATTTTAAATATTTAATTACTTTTTTGTTTACCATGAAT